CTCCCTCGGACTGGGGCTCCATGCAAGATGTCACCTCGTGGGGTATCACCGATGATAAGAAAGGTGAGGAATCAGCCCAGAACTCCAAGGGAGGAGCTGGTCAATGACATTAAGAGAGCTGGGACCACAGTTTCAAAGGTCACTGTCGGTAGAACACTACGCTGTCATGGTTTCAAATCATGCATTGCACGGAAGGTTCCCCTGCTCAAGTCATCACATGTCCAGGCCCGTCTGAAATTTGCCAATGACCATCTGGATGATCCAGAGGAGGCATGGGAGAAAGTCATGTGGCCAGATGAGACCAAAGTAGAACTTTTTGGTCTAAACTTCACTTGTCGTGTTTGGAGGAAAAAGAAGGATGAATTGCCTCCAAAGAACACCATCCCTACTGTGAAGCATGGGGGTGGTAACATCATGCTTTGGGGGTGCTTTTCTACGAAGGGGACAGGATGACTGCACTGTATTAAGGAGAGGATGAATGGGGCCATTTATTATGAGATTTTGAGCAACAACCTCCTTCCCTCAGTCAGAGCATTGAAGATGGGTCATGGCTGGGTCTTCCAACATAACGACCCAAAGCACACAGCCAGGATAACCAAGGAGTGGCTCCGTAAGAAGCATATCAAGGTTCTGGAGTGGCCTAGCCAGTCTCCAGACCTAAATCCAATAAAACATCTTTTGGAGGGAGCTGAAACTCCGTGTTGCTCAGCGACAGCCCTGAAACCTGACAGATCTAGAGGAGATCGGTGTGGAGGAGTCGGCCAAAATCCCTGTTGCAGTGCAAACCTGGTCAGGAACTACAGGAAATGTCTGACCTCTGTAATTGCAAACAAAGGCTTCTGTACCAAATATTACCACTGATCTTCTCAGGGGTTCAAATACTTCTGTTCAGCAGTGCAAGACAAATACATTCTTTACAAATCATACAATGGGATTTCCTGAATTTGTTTTTTTTAAATTCTGTCTCTCAGAGTGGGAATGCACCTACAATGTGAATGTCAGACCCCTCCATGATTTCTAAGTGGGAGAACTTGCAAAATTGCAGGGTGTTCAAATACTTCTGTTCCTCACTGTATATATATCCCTTAAATGAATGTGATAATTCATACCGTATATGCATACACCATAAATATTAAAAAAAAACCACTCAGGTCTGTCAATGTAAATGTACAAAAAGCACTTTTTATCTTCATCTACTACCATAAATGTGTCAAAATATAACGCCAGCTAGTGCCAATACCCAAAAGAAAACTGCTCACCTTCTTTAACACACAACCCCAGGAGGTCAAACAGTGCTCAGAGACCCACCCATGGGACAACTGCCCCACTCTTAGTGCTCATGTACACTGCAGCTGATAAATTCACATTTGGGAGCTGTTCAGCGGTTTGTTTGTTTTTCAGCAGCCCCTGAACTCTCCCTAATGTTTTCCTATATGTCCATGTACACATCGTCGTTTGCAGTTGTTTTTTTTTTTAACTTGCATCAATTTTATCAGCGTTTCAAACGCTAAACGCGGCCAATTGCATTTATAAGCGTTTGCAATTTTTTTTTTTTTTTAACTCTTCCAGTTCCGGATGCTGGCCAGAGCCTTTTTTCATCATGCAAAATGCATGCAAAGCGTTTTCAAGGTACTCAGATGGACAAAACACTGAACACAGGATGTTCCTACCAAGCTTGTCACACCTCAGACCTCTCCCACCCTTGGAAACAAAAATATGTTAATCTTTTGTTTCCAAAAAATATGTGAACAGGCACTTTTAGAATACAACCAAATCTTGTAGACCAGAATCTATATAAATACATCCAGGGAAAACCCCCCACAAATAGTGAAGTACATAAAATATTGTATGTTTTATTATATACAAAACATATACTCACATGGCATCAATCAATATATCTGTGAAAATTCTAGCTGACATATGGGCAAAAAAGGCCAATCCAGTCCCTCAATGTCCATGAATTTGGACATTTGCTCCGCTGAAGGCCTGCAAAACGTTCAAACTGATCCAAATCGACGCTTCCCTTGCGCAGGAGCGGGACCCTGTTTTAACACCGTTTTCTGCAGCCAACTCTAGCTCTATTCCAGGCAGGCCTACCTGACCAAGGTAGACTTTTTGGGACAACAGCTATACAACAGCCATCACTGTCCAGAGCACAAAAGCACCCAACTCTTAACTTGATCGCCCCTGCCATCTCTGCGTTCTCTACAGAGGCATTTTTAATTTCCGACTCCAGCAGACTTGAAGAGGAATGAGGAGGAACTAGAGCCAGTGTTTAGAGGAGGCCATAGAGGATTTCCAACCACCATCCTCCAATGCACCTGCTGTTATAGCTGCCAATGTAGATATGCTCACTTTTGCTGTGTGTAAAAGCCCTAGCATTATCAAACTTGACTTTCCTCTGTCTAGCTATGCCCCTTTGGGTACTAAGGGACCTGCTAAGTCAAAAAAGGCATTCCCACTCATGAACAAATAGAATGGGAAATGATGATTGGGTTAACCTTGAAAAGATTTTCATCCTGCCAAGAATCCTTGCCAAGCTCTGTTCAGTGGAAAAAGTTCAGTAGACGACTCTGTCATCTCAGTCTAAAACAAACCTCTTACTGTATCAGTAGAAGATATTCTTTCAATTAGGGAATCTGCAGACTGAAAATACGAGACCCTTTTTAAAGACTTTCTTTAACCTTGCAGACTCAGCTCTGCAACTGTCTATTGTTGCAGTTTCTGTTTGCCAGACTGCAGCTAATTGGACTAGGGCACAGGTGTCAAACTGGTGGCCCTCCAGCTGTTGCTAAACTACAAGTCCCCATTTGTAGCCAACACCAAGGATCCTCCAACACTGGTATTGGATGCTCTAATAATTCCCTGGACCCTGTTCCAGTTTATATATGCCTTTCTTCCAGTGTGAATTCTGTCTTGATCGCTCCTCAAAATAGAGCAAGAGATGAAACTGTTGATTCTCGTTGAACCAGACTGGCCCAGGAGCACCTGGCACACAGGCATACTCAAACTTCTAGATGATCCCTGGCCTCTTTCAAACAGGCTAGACCTTCTGTCTCAGGGCCCACTGCTGAAACAAGCGTTCTTCTCAGTCACTGGCTTTAACCGTATGGCTGTTGAAACTCAACTTTGAGGGGTAGAAGTGTCTCTGATTCTGTCATTCCTACATTGCTTAAAGTCATAAAAGCCACTTCTGGAAGAAATTACTATCATAACTGCAAATCCTTCTTTGCCTGGTATGAACACAGACCTTTAAATCCCAGAGATTTCTATGTGCCCTGAATTCTGGCTTTCATACAATCAGGACTTAATCAGAATTTGGCCTTGGCACAGACTTCATCCAATTTGTTCTAAAAAAAAAAACTCTGGCTTCATTTTCCTTTGTAAAAACCTTTATTCAAAGTGTTTCTTGGATTAGACCACCTTTACAGCACCCTGTGCTTCCTTGGGATCTTAGTTTTGGTTCTCTCTGCTGTGCAGAAACCACAACGGGGAACTTCACTGGATGATCTATCTTGCAAAGTGGCTTTCTTATGGACTGTCACATCTGTTAGATGTGTCTCTGAACTAGCATCTCTCTTGTAAGGGAGCCTTCACAAAGACAATGTAGTATTGCGCCCAAGACCTACCCTGTTGCCTAAGGTGCCATGTAATCTCCACCCTAATGAAGACTTAGTCCTTCTCTTGTTGTGCCTTGCTTCTAAGCAAACCAAAGAGGATTGCTCTTACTTGTCTGGATGTCAGCCATTAATAGTTTACCTGAAAGCCACAGCTTCTGTAAGAAAGATGGACTCTCCTGCTTCCCTCCACTATTTGTCAGGTGGATAAGACAACTCATCTCAAGAGCATACACTGTAAAGGATTAGACACCTCTACCACTCTTATGTGCTCACTCCACCTCGTTCTTTTGCCCAGCTTTGCAAGGCTGCCACTTGGTCTTCAGTTCATAATTCTCCAAGTTCTACTAGGTGAATGTCCAAGTTTCTGCAGATCCTGATTTAGGCTGCAAGTTTCTTGCAGCAGCACTCTGAGTTGAGTCCATTGATCCTTATCATTGTTAGGCCTATTGACACATTACTGTGTGCATTGTTGTTTTCCACCCTTCTTATTCATTGCTTGTTGACGTCCCAGGGTCTATGAATATCCAGCCTGTGGCCTGTACTGTATAATTAAGAGGAATTTTGACTTGCCTGTAAAATCCATATCTTGGAGCTTTCCAAGTGCTCAATTTCCTGAAGGAACCAGCCTACAACCCCAGGATCTATGAATATCCAGCCTGTTCCCTGTACAGTACTCCAAGATATGGAATTTACAGGTATATCAAAATTCCTGTTTATGTTTGTTGAGCGAGTGAAGCCAGTGGAGATATTGGCAGAGAGGGGCAACAGACACTAAGTATTTGGTGAGGTGTACAAGTCTGCAGCAGCCTACATGATTGACTGAAAGGGAGGATAGCCTGGCTAGAGGTAGGCCAATGAGGAGGGAGTTGCAATAGTCAAGGCGAGAGATAAAAATGGCGTAACATTGTAGCTTGGTGGTGCCATTGGTTAAGAAGGGGTGTACTTTGGATTGTTACAGAGGTTTAGCGACAAGATTTCAACATTGATTGGATGTGGAGCCGAAAGCCCAACATAACATTTTGCATAAACTGGAACACCACTTGTGGTTTTCTTGTCCAACATCAGTACCTGATCTCACAAATGGGTAAAAATTCCCCTAGACACACCCCAAAATTACGTGTATGTGTTGCGACAGAATGTATTCATGCATGTATGTAATAAGTAGGGTCTGTCATGTCCTGTTCCGATACACCAGGTGCAATTGCCTGAGAATGCTGGGCACAGGGTAGGTTACAGCTGCCAGCACCTGCTCAGTTATTATCTCTCTGTCAGGCTGGTGGGTAAACTGGTGGCTCCCCAAAAAAATCAGCTTTTAACCCAGGCTGTCTCTGTGTAAGTGGAGAAGACTCTCTAACCCCAATGAGGTTTCACACGGCTTGCCTACCTTTTACATTCCACATTGGCAATGGTCTCTGGTAAAGGCACATTCATCGTCTCTGGCAGCAGACAGGCCACCAGGCTACAAGCCACAGCAGTTACACAGTAAATGGTCTGAGGAAGGAGGCGCCAGATGTCATCCAGCAGGAGCATTAGAGGCGCCGCAGAGGCCCCAAGTCGTCCCACGAAGGAAGCGTATCCAATGCCATTCTGCCTGAAGCAGAGTAAAAAAAAGGCATGTCACCTCCATGGGGCACATCATCTCTGCAGGAGCTCCAATGGTTCACACTGTACCTGATCGCAGTAGGGAAGAGTTCGGCCGTGTACAGGATGACGCCGGTAAATGCGGCTTCCGAAAATCCTTTTCCAATGATGGCCACTGCAGTGCGGAATGGCCTCAGAGCTGAGGAGAAAATAGTGTAAGATCCTGACATGCAAAAAAAGAAGTATTCTATACTGCACCCATTACATGGAGATAAGGAGGTTCAGAGATTGTCCTGTACTGACTTATCACATAAAGACCAAAAAGCCCAGAAATTGCACCCGAATTGACACATCACATGGAGACCAGGAGGCCCAGAGACTGGACCCGTACTGACCCATCGCATGGAAAAAAGAAGTCCTTACATACAGAATAACAGATACTGAAAATTACACCCAACATACAGGACAAGAGAAATGGCACTGTGCAGAGTCCATACATGCAGAATAAAAAGATACTGAGAATTACACCCGGCATACAGGACAGAAGTGGTACTGTGCAGAGTCCATACATACAGGAAAAAAACATAGATGAGTGAAATAGCTAATGCTCATCCTTTGCACATCTGCCAAACAGGAAAGTTGTGGTCCCTGGTGCTACTTACATGGAGGGATCCCAGCAGACACTCCAATGCAAACTCCAGTCATAAGCATGGTGAAGAACAGTGACCAGCGACGGCCCAGATGGTTCATGAGGAAATAGACACCCAGCTTGCCAGGAAATTCCACCAGGGAGTAGAGGAAATGGGTAAGGTAAATATCAAATCCCAAACCACCAACATTCAAAATGATGCCATAATAGGAGAACGCCGACGTAGCGAACCTGCAGATAATAGACACAAGTGATATGAGATAACCAACCTTCTCTGAGCCAGGGACACACCAAGAAGTCACCAGGGATGTACCATATAGGCATCATGGATGCTGGACCAATGTATCTGTTAGAGGCACATGCTGAGACCATTAGGCCAGGATAGTGGCTTAATGGGTAGGATTTCGACCTTCAGCACTAAGGTCCTCAGTTTTCACCCTGGTCAGAACACTACCTGCATGGAGTCTGCATGTTCTGAACAAAGATTTCCAGCAGATGGGACCACAATCTAGGTGCCAGCAACCTGAGAGTGATTGTCACTGGGTTATGTTACCTAAGCAATTAACCCTTTAAATTCCAAACTGCCACCAGAAAGGTTTGGGCCTATCAACCCTTCACAATGTGAGCAAGAACAAATATGAAAAATAAACATCTGTACACACACTGTCACCACAGACAGGAATATTCAGAGATTTGTCATATACATTAGCACTCTTCAAGAGACAGGGATTCTGTTAGTTTGCATTAAAAGCCTTAAAGACAATTTCAACACTTTTCAAAATAGGATTTAATAATGAAAAGGTCAAAATGGTGCACGTAAAATATTTACAGAAAAAGAGTGTTAGACAGAAACAAAGAGAACCAGCAACAGCAAGTCAGAGGTGAAACCGGTAAATACTTGCAAAGTCCTTCGTTTTAGCAGAGTCCAATTGATCGAGCAAAAATGGTACAGTGGCTCTCACAAGTCCTGTTAGGCGTTCCTTGGTTTGATGTTACGAGAGCTGTCAAAGGGTCCTGGCATTCCCCTTTTCTGTGGTATCAAAGGGGTGTTGACAGAGGCTAACTGACCAGTCACCCAGAGTAAGGGGTGGTTGCTGGGAGGTCCCCATGTTTATGACCAAGTCCTAAATACAATTTTCTATAAGTATTCACATTTCTGAATACCTAACGCTTACAGTCTGCCAACATGCAGATTATTGTCCAGCATGAAATTAGCTTCAAAGTGGATATAAATATGACAGGTCTTGGATAACTATTTCTCATAGGAGGGGTGTGGAGGCCCAATCCACTCTGGTACCTCCTAGCATAGGGGTGTTTGGGTTCAAAATGCTACCCAATGACTTAGGGAGGTAAATATGTGTATATTCTGGCTGTGCTGTCATTGTTTCATGAGTTATGAAATATGCAGACGTTTTAGAGTCTTGCTACTAACCAATCTATCAGGGATGTGTATTCTACCCACTTCCAACTTAAAGTATTTTTGACCCAATGCCTGTTTAATTTTCTATTCACTGAAGTAGCTAAGTCAGACACTTTTATGGGTCCTGCGATGTACAGTATATTGGGGGTTAGATCCTGCTAGCCCCATTAACAGACTGATAAGGGTTGACTGGCAGCAGCTAAGAGTTTGTGGATTGTATGAACTGAAAGGAGGAGGGAGGGGGAGAGATGAAAAAAGTCACTATGCTATGCCATCTTGTGATGAAATGGCATAGGAGACTTGTGACGTGAACAAAATGGCTGCTACCCACACAGCTATTCAGGTGCCAGGTACGCACGAGCATTACAGGTCTGATCTCTTCTCTCAGTGACCACCCACCTGCTGACTGACAGTCAAACAAGCAGGTATTTGTGATTAAACTGTATCTGGGAAAAACAACATATACAGCACATTTTAATAATACATGCACACATACAGAATATTTTGGGTGGAAAGATTAGGGGTAAATTTCAGTCATCCTTATGCAAATCCTTTAATTATATCAGTTAGCCAAATATTAATTTATATTTAAAAGTTTAGTTATATTCTAGAACTGGGGCCTCCAAACATTCTGAAGTTTACTGTCCTTCACACTTTAGGGGAGCCAGTAGGAATAAAAAATGTCCTTGATCAATGGTAGTGAACAATGCCCTATTTGTAGTGTTTGAGAAATAGTGTCCCATCCTTGGTGTAAGTGGGAGGAATAGTGCCCCATTGTTGGTATCAGTGGGAGGAATAGTGCCCCATTGTTGGTGTCAGTGGGAGGAGGAATAGTGTCCCATCATTGGTATCAGTGGGAGGAATAGTGCCCCATCGTTGGTATCAGTGGGAGGAATAGTGCTCCATCGTTGGGGAGGAATAGTGCAGTTGGTGGGAGGAATAATGCCCCATTGTTGGTGTCAGTGGGAGGAATAGTGCCCCATTGTTGGTGTCAGTGGTAGGAATATTGCCCCATTGTTGGTGTCAGTGGGAGGAATAGTGCCCCATCACTGATGTCAGTTAGAAGAATTATGTCCCATTGTTAATGACAGAGGGAGGAATTTTGCCCCAAGGATTGGATAAAAGCAAGAAAAGGGCCACATCTGGCCCCCCGGCTGCAGTTTGAAGACCACTGTTCTCGAAGGCAAGCACTGGTACGTGATTGGCAGCAAACATTCCGTACGGGGTCCCCGGTATGATATGGCCTCTCATATACTATGGATGAAGGATACAAATATAGTGGGGAATCTTCTTACCACACCATCCCGCAACATATAGAGATCCTCCGGAGACGTGGAGTTCGGAACAAGTCAATGAAAGAATAGGTCTGAGTTGAAGGTCCAGCTTCTGCCAGTGCCTGGATACTCTACCCAGAAGAGATGGTATGGTTAGTATATTGCACCATTTTTATCTCACAGACAGCAGAAGATGTGTGAATGGCCACCATGCACCTGCCAATGTGGGACCATCTATGAGGGGGGGGATATCCACTTATACTGTAGGTCCTGTAGGCACACAACTTTGGTTTTCTAAATAGCCCCCCTCCACCAGAATCCCAGAATATCTCCTTGTTTTCATTGTCATGAACTGGCCTAGAATATTCCGATATGTAGATGATATTATATGATATTAGATGATAAGAGATAATTACCAATAATTATATAGGGAAAGCTGTATCTTGCAGCCAAATGCCTACGGTGCCTAATGAAAATTCTGACCCTGTATAAATGGCCAGTGCCAAGTCAAGCTTGTAAACATCCCATTTCAGGCATATTGTCCCATGGTCAGCAAAGCTAAGTGATGCCTCTGACCCTGGACTGTATAAAATGGACCAAACCAACTGGGAACTCTCCTCCAATTAGCATTTTATACGTTAACACAAATGAGATAATGTGATTCCATGAAGGGAAAGTCTTTTTCTCCTTTGTTGGTTTCATCCAATATATACCAATAACTGGATGAGAGTCCTGAGTCCATTCTGTCAGTGCCAGTGGGGCCCTTTAAAAGGACAGTACAGGGTATAATTAGTGAGTACTTTTTTTTTTTTTAACATTCTTTACATAGAGTTATTATCACAGCGTTTACCTTAAACCATGTGACCTCACTGCAAGGTTGATTTTTTTTTTTTTTTTTGCTGATTTAAAAATTGCTGATTATACCTAGGGGTGCATGAATAAGGTGCAAACACTTTATTCCTCACTCCAGCACAGTGACCAGTACCCTATAGCCTGCTTTTGAAGTTGTGAAGCGCCGGTCACACTCCAGCCTCCTCAACGTACAATACAAGTTTAACGTCCCTGTACTGTACATGGTGACATTGTGGCTCCATCCACAAACCAGAGCTTCAAGCAGAGGAGGAAAGTGCTAGAGTCAGCGGGTGTGGGAATGTAAAGTATGTACTACAGCCTATACTTCAATCCAGCCTTTCTCAACCTTTTCAGCAGAGGGGAACCCTTGAAATAACTTTCCAGTCTCAGGGAACCCCTGGTAAAAATTACTATATCTACATCTCGTGATACGTTGGTGTGATGGTCAATGAGAAGATTGCTCCTTACACTTTTGGACACTGGAAAGAATTACACAGATAGTTAAAAATATCAATGGTGTCAGTTAAAAATATCAATGGTGTCAGTGGGAACTTATCTGAGAGGCAGAAATTGCTCATGGAAGCCCTAGGAACCTCTGGAAGAAACCTAGGATTCTGTGGAACCCTGCTTGAGAATCCCTAACACTTACCCTTCCAGCTGGGCTGGGGTGATACTAAACCTATGACATTGAATTAACAATATATGGTCTCCCACAGTACATAAAACATGGTAATGCATTTATTTTAGTAACGTGAAACCGCTAAATACCTTTTCTCAGCAGCGCTACACAGTGGTCATGTGACTGGTTGCTGTGTCCGGCCAAGTGTTGGTTCAGCTTCTAGGAGGAGTTTTCATCTCTCAAGCAATACACACAATACAGAGCATGTGCAGACTTGCCACCACTGCTCTGTACAATTGGCAGGTGGATTGGGGACTTTATACAAAGGGGAGGATCAGAGAACAGCAATGGATTGGGGACTTTATAAGAAGGAGAGGATCAGAGAACAGCAGGATCAACCAGTATTTTTACACACAGCAGCGGATTAACCCCTTAGGTTCCACAATGAGTATAACAAGGATGCTTTGCTGCGTATACAGACTGATGTTACTATAGTTAGTTTAGTAAAACTTTTAGGAGGAGTTTTCATTCTTCTCTGAGTTTCCTCCATGCAGAGACTGCATAACCCATGACTCTGTCTGGACAGCACTGATTGGATCACATGTATCCTCCACTAAAGCCTGTGTCCACATGCTTTAATGGGAGGCGGTACCTCCATCAATCAAGATGTGACATCCCACCCACTGTGTACTTTTTAGGTTACTGGGCATGGAGGAAGAAGGAAAGACTGGGCTGTCATTTAGGAACTGTGAAAAGGCCCTAAAGTATTGTGACCTGAATAGCTCCGATCATAAAGAAAATGTTCGCTCAAGCAATACACACAATACAGAGCATGTTCAGACTTTCCACCACTGCTCTGTACAATTGGCAGGTGGATTGGGGACTTTATACAAAGGGGAGGATCAGAGAACAGCAATGGATTGGGGACTTTATAAGAAGGGGGGGATCAGAGAACAGCAGGATCAACCAGCATTTTTACATACAGCAGAGGATTAACCCCTTAGGTTCCACAATGAGTATAACAAGGATGCTTTACTGCATCTACAGACCGATGTTACTATAGTGGGATTAGTAAAACTTTAATGTCTGGTTTATTTACACTTTTCATGTGCTATTTTCACATCTTTCTCATACCAGGGGCGGACTGAACATTTGGAAACTCGGGCACAGCCTGAGGGCCCGGGGTCAGTAGGGGGCCCCATGAGATGCACCTGGTACCTTTTTCATAGGCTTTTTTTGAGTTTGGGCAAGGACACAGGAGCCCCATGATCCCCTATTGCCCGGGGGCCCCATGAGTTATCAGTCCGCCCCGTCTCATACCTTATCTAAAACACCTCAAGTTACATTAAACGCCTCGTAAAATGAAACTAAGGGGCACTCAAGAGCCAATAAAAGCCCTTATAAATTTATACAGCAACCCCCCCCATCATTTCTCCTCTTCATTGACTTTAATGCATTACTCCTACCTGCGAAATTTCTCCAAAAAACTGTCAGTTTCGCTCATGCTTAATCCAGGGTGCGCAGAGCATCTCACCTCACTGTTCTTCCTGAATGCATCCAAATTGCAACCATTTACTGCAGCACATCGCATCAGCACCTCTTCAGCTTCCTTAGCGCGACCCTTTGTCAACAGCCAGCGTGCAGATTCAGGAACCCACCTGGAAAAAAAACATGCAGAGCATTACACCGTCACATTGGGATTTATATCACTACGGATGAGCATCACGCAAGCACTGCAGCATATTGCACCAAGTGGGAAAGCTCAGACTCTATGACAATAAAAATACTCTCCTAATATTCACCCAACAATAGCCTGCGGCAGATCAAGACAGTTTGTCTCTCAAGGACTTTTTTCACTTTCTGATATTAAAATCATCTGTGCATATCATAGAGAGACGCACAGAGCATTGCAGCACACTATGCGATGAGTGATGCTGGAGACAAATGCAGAGCATCGCGCTGTGAAGATATTCTGCGCCGTTGGAGAATTGCACCTTGTGGAGTCCTCTCCTAATATTCACCCAACAATAGCCTGCGGCAGATCAGGACAGTTTGTCTCTGAAGGACTTTATCACTTTCTGATTCTGCCATAGAGAGACACACAGAACATTGCAGCACACTATGCAGAATGTTACACCCTGGAGATGAGCAATACTGGAGACAAATGCAGAGCATTGCGCTGTAAATATTTTTTACTCCTGCAGAGAATTGCACCTTGGGGAGTCGTGACACGGTGGAGAGTTGAATAGCGCATTGGAAACATACTGCAGAACATTGCATACTGGGGAGATATGATGCTGTGTAGAGGTCACAGAATATTGCACCAGGGAGATGTACTGTACTACACCTTCAGAGCACTGCAAGATGCAGAGTCAGGATAGTTTCTGGTAGTGTTGTCTTTGAGATCCAAGGATTCAGAACTGGAGAGCATGAGGTAGGAGAGACCGTATAATGTAAAAAAAAAAATCTTTTTTTTTTTTTTTTTTTTGTTATCTTACCAGAAGCTGATAACAGCCGGGACAAGGGGGGCAGTGATGGCCACCAACAGCCAGCGCGCCAGTCTCTCAGCAGATACGCCAACAGCGCCAGGGCACAGCTCCCGATCGACCAACAGAAGCCAGTAATTATCCCAGCATCTGTGCGATGCCGTATGTCCACCCACTCCACACCTAAGGGGATCAGAAAATAACCATCAGATAACAAGCCTTCCTGCCAGGTCTGACCCACCAAATACTTGATGGCCCCACCAAATCCCACCAGGTTCCCCGAGCCCAACAAATCCCCCATGACCACACAAAATCCCCTCTGACCAACCATATTCCCTCTGACCCAACCAGATCCCCCTGGACCACCAAATCCTCCCTGGCTTCAATAAATTCCCCTGATTCCACCAACTCTTCCCTAATCCAGCAAACTCCCTTATCCCACCAAACTTCCTGGTCCCCACCAAATCCCTCCTGACCCACCAGATCTTCCAAAAACTTGTATCTTCCTTCATTCTTGCTCACCTCCCCACGTCTCCTTATAAACCTCATCATCCATGCCATCTATTCACCATGGTACTCCTGGAATACTTACTTAAAGAAATTATATTGATAGTGAATCCTGAAAAAGTACATCCAGAGAGGGCCATGCTGACAGCAAACATAGGGTATGAGATGGAACTGGCAGATATCACCCCAAACACCATTGCCAGGAGCATGGAGGCAAAGAGCATCGTTCTGCGGCCATATCTGAAACATGACAATCACAGGTTGAAATTCCTGAACAAAATCACAAAATGCAACCCGGCATCTGAGATTTACTTTCAAACAGTCTTCATTATTGCTGTCCACATTTTTTGTTTACACACCCCATCCATCCACCCTAGAGTCCCCATTCATCCACTTTACACTCTCAGTGCTTTCACCAAAATTTCCTAGTCCATCGACCCTGCACTTCCTGTCTATCCACTCTATGTTCTCAATTCACCCTACAATCCCCATCCATCCCCACCATAGTCCCTGCCCATTCACTGTAAAGTCCTCATCCATCCACTTTACACTCACCATTCTTCCACACTACTTTCCGCATCCATCAACCCTACACTCCTCGTCCCTATATCCTACACTCCTTATCCATCCAGCCTACAGTTCCCGTTTATTCACACTACATTCTTCATTCATTCACCATACACTCCTCATCCATCGACCCTTCAATCTCCATCCATCCACCAACCCTACACTCCCTGTCCATCCACCAATCAGTCCTCTTCAATTTACCTTACACTCACCATTCTTCCACACTACATTCCCCATCCATCAGTCCTATACTCCTCATCCCTCTATCCTACACTGCCTTTTTCCATCCAGCCTACATTCTCCATCCGTTCACCTTACACTTCCCATCCACCCAGCCTACAATTCCCATCTATTTGAACTACATTCTTCATCCATCTACCCCCTCACTCCCATCCCATCCAACCTTCATTCTCTATCCATCCACCCTACACACCCTGTCCATCCACCCTACAGTCTCAGTCAATCCATCTTACAGTCCTCATCAATCCACCTTACACTCATGATCCATTCCCACACTACTTTCCGGATCCATCATTCTTCCCACACTACTTTCCGGATCCATCAACCCTACACTCCTCGTCCTTAAATCCTACACTCCCTATCCATCCAACCTACAGTTCCCGTCTATTCTTCATCCATCCAACAGTCACCATACACTCACTCAGCCATCCACCCTTATCAATCTCCAGCCACCCTGCACCATCCCTATTCAGCCATCCACCCTACATCTCCCCCTATCCCATCCCACCCTACAGTCCCTGTCCATCCACCGAACAGTCCTCTTCAATTCACCTTACACTTACCATTCTTCCACATTACATTCCCCATCCATCAGTCCTACACTCCTCATCCCTCTATCCTACACTGACTGTCCATCCAGCCTACATTCTTCATCCGTTCACCTTACACTCCCCATCCGCCCAGCCTACAATTCCCATCTATTTGAACTACATTCTTCATCCATCTACCCTCTCACTCCCATCCCATCCAACCTTCAATCTCTATCCATCCACCCTACACACCCTGTCCATCCACCCTACAGTCCCAGTCAATCACCTTACAGTCCTCATCAATCCACCTCACGCTCCCCAAACATTCAGCATATAGTTCCCGTCTATTCACACTACATTCTTCATCCATCCACCTGACACACCCTGTCCATCCAGCCTACATTCGCTCTACACTTGCTAGCTATTCAGCATGACCTGAAATCAAACTCACCGGTCAGATAGGTCTCCAAAAATGACAGAGCCCACCGTCACTCCAATAAAGAAGATAGTGGCCACAGCTTTACTCAACCTCTGCGGCCACACACCAGATCCCACTGCAGTACAGAAAACACTGGTTATTTTTACACACCTTTTACCTGCGCTTAAAGATTACCTCTGGTCTATAGCGCCGGGTGGACTCATTTTGTCTTAGGTTTTATCCCAATAGGATAAAAACATTCAGCTGCTCCCAAATTCACATCAATGTAATTTAAATATTAAAATGACAGGCATACCTTGGTTTACGAATTTAATGCGTTCTACGGGATGTTTCGTATTGCGAAAAATTCGTAAACCGAAACGCGGTTTCCCATAGGAATGCACTGAAAACCAATTAATCCGTTCCGGAAGTCAGAAAAAAGTCAAAAAAGTCTCATCTGTTCAAAACTCTTTATAAACTGTACTTTAAAGGCATAAATACTGTACAGGGACAGGATTAAAAAAAAAAATTTTGTAAATGCCTTGAAAACCAATTAATCCGTTCGCATTGCGAAAAAAATTTGTATACCGAGGCGTTATTTTCATTCATAAACCGAAAATTACGTTAACAGCGGCGTTCGTAAATTGAGGTACACCTGTAATGATATAACTGACTCAGAACCTGTATTTTAAGATGGATAATTCTGGAGTCATTGGGTACATTGTCCCATTGTGAATCTGCACAGATAACAGCCTCTTATTGTGTGCTGAGTGTACAAAAGAGTGCCCTGAATTACCTCTTGACCTTCATAAATGACCATGCTCCATAGATCAGACGATCAGACATCCTGTAAGCGTAACTTTTCTCTCTCAATCAACACGGACTATTTTTAATCCTTGTGCTACTAGCATTAGTAAATAGGAAAGCATATCATATTTACTTGTTTTAGGTTTTTTTTCACATTTTGTCAGTTACTTCCTGGTTTCCTGCCTAGGCAAACAATGTCAGACATCCCAGCAGTCTTCAGGAGGAGGAGGGGGGGGGGGGAAGGTTCTCAGCTCAGCCTATATCTGAGCTAAGGGCAGATAGACTCCAAGAAGTAAATTTATTTATTTATTTCAGGTACTTATATAGCGCCATCAATGTACGCAGTGCTTTACATATATATATTGTACATTCACATCAGTCCCTAACCCTCAAGGGGTGTACAATCTAAGGTCCCTAACTCACATTCATACATACACATACTAGGGCCAATTTAGACAGGAGCCAATTCACCTACCAGCATGTCTTCGGAGTGTGGGAGGAAACCGGAGTACCCGGATGAAACCCACTCAGGCACAGGGAGAACATGCAAACTCCAGGCAGGTGGTGCTGTGGTTGGGATTTGAACCAATGACCCTAGTACTGCCAGGTGGAAGTGTTAACCATTTAGCCACTGTGCTGCCCCTATATGATACTTGAATCAACTGCCCATACTCAAGATGTCCACTGTCAGAAATGCCAGGGGGTGTTTTTCAAAATTATTTCTCAGCAAAATAAAGCATGGAGACATGGATGGATGGATGGGGGAGATTGCTTTGAATATTAAAAATGAATGAAATGGCATTTTTGGATTGTGGTGCTCAGATGCAGTGCAGTTCCACTTTAAGGTGATTCAGTGGCAGTGTACGTATTACCCTGCTACCTTTACCTATAGATAATTCTGAATTTTGTTGGGCTGAGTAGATTACAACTTTATGTTTGATACCCAAAGTCAGGGGCGGACTGACAACTCATGGGGCCCCTGGGCAATAGGGGATCATGGGGCCCCTGTGTCCTTGCCCAAACTCAAAAAAAGCCTATGAAAAAAGGTACCAGGGGCATCTCATGGGGCCCCCTACTGACCCCGGGCCCTCGGGCAGTGCCCGAGTTTCCAAATGGTCAGTCCGCCCCTGCCCAAAGTTATCCTAAACATTACATGACTGGGTGACAAAATGAGCCCCATGCAACACCTCTGACAAACCTCACATACAGTATTTCTGGGGTGGGAGAGAATAAAAGAGAATTTATGCTCAACCATTTTTTATTTTGTGATCCAAAGTATCACTGTTTTATCTTCTGACAAAACCAACTTGGTCATTGTGTGGCCCCCAAGAAAAAGAAGCCTAGGTTGTAGAAATCATTGGGCCCCCACACATTTATTGTGGTGCCCCATTTAGGATCCTGGCAGTGAAGGACTGGCCTGGAGGGCAAGGGGGCATTTCCCCCCTGGGCAATTAAAATATGTTGAGCTGAGGGCCCTGAGTGGAGGTACTTCATTCAGAGTAGTACCGATACTTTCACTCAAGTACTCGCTGATATTGAGTACTGATACTTCCCAGTGCGATTTGCGTTAATGGATGCAAATTTAACCGCAAAGAATAACATGCAATTTGAACAGGAATGCGATTCCTGTCCAAATCGTTTTTAGTTTCCCCACTGCCCCTGTGTGAACCCAGGCTTGTCATAGGCCAAGTTCACACAGGAGTGGTGCAGGAAACTTCCCTGCAGGCATCCCATGCTGAGTGTCGGTGGTAGGAGAGGAGAGAAAGTGGCAGGGATTCAAATCCACTTTCTTTCCTCTCCTTGCAGCGATGACAGTTTGGGCTAGACGGCATCTGATTGGTCAGCACCATCCATGAATTGCATTCCTATTCAAATCGCAAGCTATTGTTTGCGGAGCAATTTGCATCCATGAACGCAAATCGCACAGCAAAATATTGGTGCTCGGTATTTGCGAGTACTTGACCGAAAGTATCGAAAATCATACTCGCCAATAAAAAAAAAAACGGTATCGGTGCATCCCTATTGCTTATTTTAGGTGTTCTGATGAGTTTACTTCCCAAGAATCCATGATTGGTATTAGAGAGACATTTCCACCCAGAATGAAAGTTGCCTGTAGAAACTATTCTACGTGGCTGTATTCAAGTGAGTTCTTGGGCTTCATGTGGTTATTCATACCTTAGCTAAGCTTTACATTTGTGCAAATAAAATGTCTATATGAGTTTTTTTTAATCCAGTCAATAAGCAAACAATAGTTACACTGATGTGTCTCTAACGTTAATTCCTGGGACAACAAGATCGTACCTGAGTGACAGTAGTGGAGGAGAAGGTGGACCGGTCATATTCCCATCCCTGGTTGCAGCTTTGCACACCAGACCCATTGATGGTCTCCTGGGATCTGTTGAGGATCAGGTGAGGCTGTGGCTGAGCATACATCTTACAGGAGCTGAAAGTCCCATCTTGTTCTTGGGGAATGTTGATGAGGAGAAGGTCCTCTTGGCTCAGATTTCCAGGGTTCCTCTGAGTAGAGATGGCACAGTGGTGGGGTGGCACAGCTGAGATGAAGA